TCACAGGCTACTGGGTTTGGCAGAAAGAACAGGGTCTGAGCTGCTGACCCTTTCCCCTGCCTATTCTTTTCAGATTTATCCACAGGAAGAGAGGATGCTGTGGTCCACAGGCAAACAGGGGTGGCAGCTCTGCCCAAGGATCAAGGCTGACTGTGGCTGCCAGCCTGACCTCTGCCTGCCTCTCACCTGACGGGGGCTCAGAAAGCCTGGCTTTCAAACTTAGCCCCACGCCCACGCCTGCTCTGCCACTCCCCACTGATGCTGACCTTGGGCAAGGGAACAGAGCATCACCTGTGTGCCCATGAACCCTAGCACCTAACAATCTGGCTGATCCTTCGCACTACTTCTTTGTTTACCAACCATTTATACTCATTTTTAAATTTTTTTCCTTCTACTTTTATTCAGTTTGTTCTGTTTTTCTTTTCTTTTTTTTTTTTTTTTAACCAGACTTCCTGAGCTGAACAATTCAGTTCAGTCGCTCAGTCATGTCTGACTCTTTGCAACCCCATGGCCTGCAGCACACCAGGCTTCCCTGTCCATCACCAATTCCTGGAGCTTGTTCAGACTCATGACCATCGAGTCGGTGATGCTATCCAACCATCTCTTCCTCTGTCATCCCCTTCTCTTCCCGCCTTCAATCTTTCCCAGCATCAGGGTCTTTTCCAATGAGTCACTTCTTCAAATCAGGTGGCCAAAGTATTGGAGTTTCAGCTTCAGCATCAGTCCTTCCAATGAATATTCAGGACTGATTTCCTTTAGGACTGACTGGTTTGATCTCCTTGCAGTCCAAGGAATTCCAAGTGTCAGTTCTTTGGTTCTCAGCTTTCTTCATAGTCCAACCCTCACATCCATACATGACTACTGGAACAACCATAGCTTTGACTAGACAGACTTTTTTGTCAAAGTAATGTCTCTGCTTTTTAATATGCTGTCAGGTTGGTCATAGCTTTTCTTCCAAGGAGCAAATGTCTTTTAATTTCAAGGCTGTAGTCACCATCTGCAGTGATTTTGTAGCTCAAGAAAATAAAGTCTCTCACTGTTCCCATTGTTTGCCCATCTACTTGCCATGAAGTGATGGGACCGGATGCAATGATCTTCATTTTTTGAATGCTGAGTTTTAAACCAACTTTTTCACTCTCCTCTTTCACTTTCATCAAGAGGCCCTTTAGTTCCTCTTCACTTTCTGCCATAAGGGTGGTATCATCTACGTATTTCAGGTTATTGATATTTCTCCCAGCAATCTTAATCCCAGCTTGTGTTTCATCAAGCCCTCCATTTCGCATGAGGTACTCTGCATTGAAGTTAAATAAGCAGGGTGACAACATACAGCCTTGAAGTACTCCTTTCCCAATTTGGAAACAGTTGTTGTTCCATGTCCATTTCTAACTGTTGCTTCTTGACCTGCATACAGATTTCTCAGGAGGCAGGTAAGGTGGTCTGGTATTCCCATCTCTTGAAGAATTTTCCAGTTTGTTGTGATCCACACAGTCAAAGGCTTTGGTATCACCAATAAAGCAGAAATAGACGTTTTTCTGGAATTCTCTTGCTTTTTCGATAATCCAACAGATGTTGGCAATTTGATCTCTGGTTCCTCTGCCTTTTCTAAATCCAGCTTGAACATCTGGAAGTTCATGGTTCATGTACTATGGAAGCCTCATTTGGAGAATTTTGAGCATTACTTTGCTAGCATGTGAGATAAGTGCAATTGTGCCGCAGTTTGAACATTCTTTGGCATTGCCTTTCTTAGGGACTGGAATGAAAACTGACCTTTTCCAATCCTGTGACCACTGTTGAGTTTTCCAAATTTGCTGGCATATTGAGTGCAGCACTTTCACACCATCAACTTTTAGGATTTGAAACAGCTCAACTGGGATTCCATCACCTTCACTAGCTTTGTTCATAGTGATGCTTCCTAAGGCCCAGTTGACTTCACATTTCACGATGTCTGGCTCTAGGCAAGTGATCACACCATCATGGTTATCTGGGTCAGGAAGATCTTTTTTGTATAGTTCTTCTGTGTATTCTTGCCACCTCTTCTTAATATCTTCTGTTTCTGTTAGGTCCATCCCGTTTCTGTCTTTTATTGTGCCCATCTTTGCATGAAATGTTCCCTTGGTATCTTTAATTTTCTTGACGAGATCTCTAGCCTTTCCCATTCTATTGCTTTCCTCTATTTCTTTGCATTGATCACTGAGGAAGGCTTTCTTATCTCTCCTTGCTATTCTGTGGAACTCTGCATTCAAATGGGTATATCTTTCCTTTTCTCCTTTGCTTTTTGCTTTTCTTTTCTCAGCTGTCTGTAAGGGCTCCTCAGACAACCATTTTGTCTTTTCGCATTTCTTTTTCTTGGGGATGGTCTTGATCACTGCCTCCTGTATTATGTCAAGAACCTCCCTCCATAGTTCTTCAGGCATTCTGTCTATCAAATCTAATCCCTTGGATCTATTTGTCACTTCCACTCTATAATTGTAAGGGATTTGATTTAGGTCATACCTGAATGGTCTAGCAGTTTTCCCTACTTTCTTCAATTTAAGTCTGATTTTGGCAATAAGGAGTTTATTTAGAAAGATGGTCTTATATAAAAACTGATTGTTCATTGATATGTGTATACATCTCAGGTCATCAAGCAGGTATTGCCATATACCTAATCTAATTTTACAGCACTCTTTGACTGTCATACCTCAAGGTCAGAAATCATTCACTGCCTTTCCCCCAGAAGGCTCAGTGCTCTGTGGTGACCTAAATGAGAAGGAAATCCAAAAAAGAGGGGATACGTGTGTACATATGGCTGACTCACTTTGCTGAACTATAGAAACTAACAACACTGTAAAGCAACTCTATTCCATTAAAAGTTAATTCTTAAGAAAAATACTTTCTTCATTCCCAATATAAGCATTTAAAGCTGCAAATTTCCCTGGAACTGCCATTGTACTTATTAGTTTTGATGCACTATATCAGTTTTTCATTCAGTTTTAAACAGCCATCTCTATATTGATTTCTTTATTGACCTACAAGAAAATTAGAAGTGTATTTTAAAATTCAAAAATCCAGCAGTTTGGAGCCTTCTAGGGGAAAGGTAGTGAATGATGATTTCTGACCTTGAGGTATGACAGTCAAAGAGTGCTGTAAAATTAGATTACGTATATGACAATACCTGCTTGGTGACCTAAGATATATACCTATATCTATGAGTAATCAGTTTGTATAAATTTTAAAGTACACCTGAAAATAATGTATGTTCTCTAAATTGGTTGTACAGGTTTTATAATACCACCTTTCTAAACTGTATTTTATAATATCATCACTAATTTTTTCTGCTTTATCTATCAATTCACTGAGAGAAATGTATCAAAATTTATGGTTATAAGTTTGTCAGATTCTCCCTATAAAGTCCATTAACTAGTCCTTCATATTTGGAGGTTGTGTCTGTTGGAAGTTCACGGATTGACAGTCATTTTTCCTAGTGAATTACTCTCGATTATTATTTCATAGGTGTCTTGATTCCCAGCAATGCATTTGCCTTGTCACTTTTGTCTGATGTTAATGTTGTTAAGCTACTTTCATTTAACATTTTAACACACCTTTCTCTACCTGTTACTTTCTACTCAAGAGGCAGCGGTGGTTCAGACCTCAGCTCTGTCCCTTACGAGCCATGTAACTTGCCAGAGGCAGGGCAACTGGGCACCAAAAACGACACCATATTTGGTATATTCCAATCCACTGCAGCGCAAATCCATTAGTTTATAATGATATGAGGGAAAAAAAAAGGCCATTGGAGCCATCTTTGAAGGATGCTGGTAACTGGTAACTGGTTACTTTGAAAATTAGCAAATAAAGGGGAAAACATGCATTGTTTTGGCTTCCCTATATGAATTGCACCTCTAGGTAACTAAATAGTTGATGAGAAGTTTCTTTTTAAGGAAGCATTCTGGCTGATAAATGAATTCGTATTCTAGAAGTAGTATAAGAAGTAACCAGGTGTCACCAGAGATGCAGACATACCACCAGTGACAAAGACTCTTTGCCCCATACGAAGAGCAGGCATCTGCTCTTTCATCTAGATCTCACTCCAATTTACAGGAAAAACAGAGATGAGAGGAGCACTGCAGAAGCCACCCCTGAGCCTTGAAGCCAAAGGGCAGGCTCTGGGAGGCTCTAGGGAGCCAGCAGCTCTATGACTTCAACAAATAATTTAAATGAAAAAGCAGGGATGGTAAGGTGATGACAATTACAGATAGAAGGAGACTCGAGAGGCACACCTTCCCAACATAAGGACCTCAGATCTTGATTTGAACAAATCATTTAAAATTTTTATGAAATTATTGGGGACATGTTAACATTGGCTAGATATTTGCTAATATTAAATCATCATTCTTTTTTGAGTGGGGTAATAATATTGAGTTTATGTTTCTCAAAAAAAAGACTCTAGGGACTTCCCAGGTGGTCCAGTATCTAAGACTCCGTGCTCCCAATGCAGGGGGCCCGGGTTCAATCTCTGGTCAGGGAACTGGGTCCCACAAGCCGCAACTAATAGTTTGCATTGATCAACTAAAGATCCCACATGCTGCAGAGGAGCCTGGCAGGCTACAGTCCATAGGACTGCAGAGTTGTACACAACTAAAGAGACTTAGCACGCATGCTGCAATGAAGATCAAAGATCCCGCATGCTTCAACTAAATAATAAAAAATTTGCAATGGTTAAAGCTAAAAGGCTTTTTTCAAAAAGACTCTACTTTTTTAGATACACATAAGGGAACATCTAGAGATGAAATTATATGTGTAGGATTTAGTTCAAATAGCCCTGGTTTGGGGAGGGGTCTGAGTGGGATGTCGTTGACAATCATCAGAGCTGATTGGCACAAGCACTGATTATTCATTACACTAGTCACTCAAATTCTGTGCTTGTTTGAAGATTTTCATTTTTCAGCATGTTTTAAATAATAAAACTCACAGACAGAGCTCAGCACTGGGTTCTGGGTGTGCCGGACCCCCAGGCTCACCCGCATCAAAGGAGCCATCCTTCTGGATCTGGGCGAGGATGTGCGACAGGGAGGCAGAGCCAGACTTCCCGGCGTCAGCCAGCTCCACAAGCTGCAGCCGTGGCGTGGTCTCGGGCGGGAAGCGGTAGAACTGGAAGGTGAAGTACACAGTCTGTGGCCATGGAGCTGCCTGCTCGTCCTGGGGCACCCTGGATCCAACGACACCCCGAGTCAACCAGGCATCCCAGTGGAGAACCGGGCTTTCATCACACAACACACTCGCAGGGAGACCATGGGCGAAAGGCCACCTCTTCCACCCCCACAGCAGCCACAGGGTGACCTCAGGGAGCCCTCTGGGCATCCCCTCTTCAGGCGTGATGGAGAGCCCTGCCCTTGGGGCTACACCAGCACCCCGAGGACTGGGCAACATGCTGTCCATGTTGTAACTAAGGACCATAGGAGTCCGGGTAAAGCAGAGTTTATAGCATTTGGAAATGGCTGGGGGTGGGTCCCAGCCAGACTGAAACAAAGACACAGGGCATTCTGTAATTGTTAAGACCTGGTCATAGGTTTCTGCTGGGTCAGAACCACATGGAAGCTTTCCCTCGACGCAAGAAATGCAAAAGCCAGGTAAAGAGTAAGAGGTGAAATAATCAAGAATTTACCTGCTAAAGGCAAGAAATTGCAGCACTATCTCATTGCCTTGTAGACAGTCCGATTCTTCCTTCTGAGGGCTGAACTTCACGGGGTCTGTAGGACTCACAGCCTCAGCTGGTTGCTTGTTGGCATCCAGAATCTCAGGAAAGCCAGCAGACTGCAGCAGTGCCAGGGAGGCCCGTGACAGCTTCCCTCCAGAGCTGGAATGGATGGCCCCCTGAGCCAGACTCCAGAAGAAGGCCGACCGAGGGGCAGGACCCGGACAGTCACCTCTCTGGGAAAGCCTGCTGTTCAGGGAGTCACAGGGTCTTGATGCTCAGTGCTTGCCTGGGGTCCCTCCCAGACCTGCTCCTCACCTCCTAGTCTGGGTTCCTGCAATGATCGGGGCGTGCACAGGCGTGAAAGGCAGTTCCTGCAAGTGGTCAGCAGCGGACGTTCCCAGGGCCAAGGCCGTCTGGCTCAGGTCAGCCTCCAGGTGAGAGATCCTGCCCTCCAAGGGAAACTCCTGTCAAACACAGTGGGGCCCCAGGTAAGGCCAACAAGGAGCCCCACTCGTAACCAAGGAAGCTGGACATGGGGCTCATGGATGAATCACCCCTGCCACATGGCAAATGAAAACACAGGAGGCTCAGCTGCATTGCAATCTCAGGTAAGTGGTGAATAATTTCAGTATAAGCATGTCCTGGGCAATATCCGGGACATACACTAAAAAGGGATTGTTTATCTGAAATTCTAATTCACCTGGGCATCCTGTATTTTATGTGTGTTGAAAAGCAACAAGGAAGGAACCACTGATTTTATGAACAGGTCAGTAGTCTGGGAGATGCCTGATGCCTGAGAAGACAAATTAACATTAAAACCATGTCCATGGAACAGGAAGATGAAACTGTCTCCAGCAATGCAAGGGAGCCTGTGGGACAGAGCCCTCATATGTACAGACGCTCCCTGTCCCCACATCACCCAATGCTCGAGGCACCCACCTGCATCCACCTTCCACCTCTGTCAAAGTGAAGACACTTAGGATCCAGGATACTCTCTCTGGAGCTGGCTTCCCCAGCTTCTCATTTCATTCAGAAGGAGCCCCAAGTGACTTGGTCGCCAGTAACAGAAGATATGTAAGATCTTCCTGACTACACGAGCCCAGGGATATTTTGGAATAAGGTATTTCAGCATAAGGATTTTCAGGTAAGTAATTAACTAGAGCTGCTTTTCCTCGACAGACTTCCAGGGCAAGACTGAAGTTTGCAGGTGAACCAGGAAACTCTATGTGGGTCCCCCCAAGGCCAGTGGAAGGAAACAGGCCTATTTCAGCCCATTAGCTCCAGTGGAATCTGGGGGTGGTGAGCTTCATGGACTCTTCCAGCCTCAGACAGGAAGGTGAGCATCCTGGAAGGGGTGCTGGCAGCTTGGGTCAGCCTCTAGTTACATCTCTATGGAAACTTTTCTTTTTCTCTTGTGTTCAGAGGTCTAAGGGCACTTTGTCTTCTCGGGTAAAAGAAAGGCAGAAATCAAGCCCTGTGGCAGGAACACCTCCCAAACCAAACCCTTGGTCACCAAGACAGATGGTGGAAGATATCTGGAACCTGGAAAGGAGGCAATGTCCAGCCCCCATCCCTATGCCTGCTTCACAGGGACCCCATGAAGGTCTCAACCACCTAGCCAAGGGCCAGGGCAGCCGGCCAAGTCAGAGACTTCATCCGAGTCAGGAGTCTGGAGCCATTCTCAGGAAAGAGGCAGGGCGGGGGCTACTTACCCCTGGGACCAGGGAGGGCGCAGGGCTCCCAGGAGGCCGTGATGAGGGTTTGGCCGAGCGGTGGCGCGGAGCCGGGGACGGTGGGGAAGCCACCAGCTGGGAAAGTGACAGCTGAAGGGAAGAAAGCTTGGGTAAGATGACAAAGGGCACCGCAGTAACTTCACAGAGCCCCTCCAGCCCCCCCAGCACTGACCCTCCAGGGGAATAGGACTCTAGTTGTGGCCCCAGGAGGCAGCAAGGTCTGGAATCTCCTGGTCACCAGCTGCTCTGGGCCAGGCACTGAGTCTAATTGCCTCTACTCTCATCATCAAGAGCTGCAATTAGGTGATCTCTCCCACATCACAATATTTGAATAAAAATAGTATTAATAAGGAAAAGCAAGTGGAAGGGACACCAGGTTCTCTCCACTCAGGCTGCAGGTCTGGTCTCTGAACTTCTCTGGGTTTTATCCCCATCCCTGGGCTGAACTCCTCCATGACCCCTTCTGATTCTAACCACCTGTGTTCCTATGACATGAACCTGCCCATTATGGGATGACCCTGATGGCAGCTGATGCGGGCCCTGGAATCCCCGCTCCACCACTTGACTGCCACATGATGTGGGCAAGTCACCTAACTCACTGGTTTAGCCTCAGTCTCCTCACCTGTAAAAGGGGGATGCTGACAGCAGCTAAATCACAGGACTGCTGTGGGAAAGGAACTGGCATGTACCCGACATGGAGTCAGCCTTCTGCAGACGGTACACATATGCGGGGAGTGAAGGTCAATGTGAAAGGCTGGTGTGGGGAGGTGAAGAGACCTGACCCTACTGAAGACCCATCTCTCAAATCCTGTTTATAATGCAGTACACGTTACTCATGGGACCTCTGCCATCAGCAGTGACCATCAGCCCAAGGGTAGCAATGGTGGTGGCATGGCAGGTGGTGCTGATACAGAAAGGACCCAGCACATGAAGAGGTGTTGAGGAAACGGGTAGGGGCCCTGGGGGATCTGGGCAGCATTTTGGGGCAGAGAGGAATGTAGGGTCGGCTCAGCTTCCCTGGACCCCAGCAGCCATCCTGAGGCTCTCCGGCTGCTGGGGGCGGACGGTGCTGTTCTGTGGCCCCCAGCACTCAGAAGCACCATGCCAAACACTGCAGGGGATATGGGGACAGGCCAGCAGGAGCCGGGAGGCTGCCCCGACCGTGCCTTCAGGCAAATGCAACATCCACTCTGATCCAGTTTCCAAGCTGCATGGTGCTCGTTAAAGCCCTGTCCTGGGCCAGCCTCGGATACTGAACAATTCAACTTTTCTAGAAAGTCAATGTCCAGGATGGTGCTGGCAGACAAGGTCATCAGGAAGACAAACCAGCTCTGACCTCATTCAAACCACGTGGCCAGAGCCAGCCCAGAGCTACGGGCAGACCCACAGCCAGCTCAGGATCCCCGAAGGGTGGCAGCACACTCCTAGACCAGAGGAGGTATCTGCTCTCTGACAGGCCTGCAGGTCAAGGTCCTGTCCCCACCAGCACCAGCTGCTCAGGGTACCTGCCCGGCTGCCGCCCAGGGACACTGCAGCTCAGCCAGCGCCCTCTCCTAGCAGGGAGGTCAGGAGGGCACACCCCAGGGTCTCAGAAGAAAAACCAAGGCTGACCAGTCCTAAACGATCATCAGCCACCAAACGTAATTGCCAGGGAAAACCATTCTGAGTGTGGAAACAGGCCTTCAGTGGCAACCAGAGGATGGTTAACAACCACCGGAGCCACTGCCCCGAGAGCCGGCTCTGGGACCCGCTGCAAAGACAGGCAGGGGGACGGCTGAGGACGCCCCGGTTGCTGTCCCTGGGGGCCCATCCCCTCAGGCTCGCCGGAATCCTTCCCACCCACACACACACACAGGATATCAAGTGTTCTTAAAGACGCCAAGAGGACTTTGCTGCACCCAGAACCTTTAAATACGTATTTTAGAATTTTGAAGCAGGCCTCTCAGGCCTGGACTTACCCCTGGTCCCACGGGTGAGTCCTGGGGAGCGATGAGCCCCTGGGGCGGCGATGCTGGTGGGTCTGCGAGGAAGCACAGGGGGACGGGGAAGGGACACCAAGAGCCCGGCTCAGTCAGTCTGGGTGCGCATCTCCCCCGACCCCACCCAAGCTGTAACCAGTGCTACAGCCGGGCAGTGGCCACCCCACAGTCTCCCCGCTTGGTGGGCAGGCCAGCGCGTGCATCTGGGGTCACTGCCTGCAGGATGGAACCCGAGCTCACTCCCCACTTCCACAGCCTCCTTCTCCTGCTTCTGTGGGCACTCTGCCTGTGCTCAGGGAGATGCGAGGCTCTTGGAAGGCTCACCCTTCCTTTCACCCTCTCACACACCACTGCCTTCGGTGGGCCGGGCTCTGACATCTATCCAGACTGGGACTTCCCCAGCTGTGGCCCACTGGCTGTTTAGTTAAATAAGAAACTTCTACGCAGACATGCATACATGGCAAATGCCACAGCTGGGGGTTCTGCTCTCGCATCACTCACGGCCCGTCCCCCAAGGCTCACTCACTCTAGGGGTGCGAGTGCCATACCAGGAAGAATCCAGGCCAGTCCTCCTCAGGGTCCTCAGGGCGAGGGTGCCCCTGGGTGACGCCAGGCTGGTCCCTGTAGTGCCCAAGATGCCCACCTGCGGAGGGAGCAGTCGCCCCCACAGTACCATCCCTACCTGCAGAGCTTGGTCCCACGTGGCGGTCCAGGGCAGGGCCGGGCTGGGTTTGCCTGTGCTGCTTCCACCCCCATACTGGGCCCTGAACTCCAGCCCAGAAACCCAGGCAACGCTCGAGTCCCAGAAACCCCCAGCCTCTCGGCACTGAGCTCCTGTGTTTGGGGCCACCACCACCTCACCATCACCCCGCCCACACCATGTCTGTCCTGCCTTCACCTGCCAGTACCATCACCTCCAGCCCGCCTGACCCAGGCCCACACTGACAGGGTACTCCTCACCCACCCGAAGGCCCAGGTGTGACCGGACACCTGTCTGAGGTGACCTGCCTGGTTCCCCTGAGGACCACACCTGCCTCATGCACCACAGTCCCCTTCACGGGGACCTGACTCTGGCCACTGCATGTGAACACTGCCCCCTCTTGAACTTCAGGACATCCTGAGACATCATGGCCCTCCCTGAGGTAACCAGCCCTGCTCCAGTCACCCCCACGTGGCCCTGAGGACCTAACTTTAGCCCATCCTTCTTCCCCTGTAGTCTCTGCTGCCCACGTCCCTGCACAAGAAACCATCAGAATGGCTCACATGCTCCTGCAAATGGAAGCCCTGAAATAAAAGCTGGTCCATCCGTGTGTGGAGCCTGGAAGCAATTAAAAAGTGGGAGGTTGACGGGTGCATCGTGAAGTGGGCCTTGCCCAGATAAAGGCTTTGCCAGGCACACTGGGCAGCTCAGGCCCGCGCAGTCTCAGGAAGGGCTGAGTCAGCGATTTCACACCAGCTGCGCCAGTCACTATAGGGTCGGCCACGCCGTGCAGGAGACAGAGAACCTCACACTTGCAGCTGCAGCCGCCGAGCCCATCTGAAGATGAATTTCCTGACAACCGATTACTTTCCCATCAGCCTCCACTCACTGAAAAGTGCTGTCAACAGAAGCTAAGGTGTCTAGTCCTCTCTCCGCTCAGCTTCTAGAAGCCCAAATGATCTACACCTGACTGAAAAGGCCATGAAGGGGCTTGCAGCCTGCCCGGAACCTGGGCTGTCCGCATCCCACAGGGTCGCATAACTGCACTGAGCACTTCTCTGCACTGGGCCTGGGGTGGGTGTGCAGACAATATGCAGGTCTGAAGCCTACCCACACTCCAGGGCGAGGGGGACTACTTTTCGGGTCAGCCCTTCTTGTGAGTCGAGTGGGTGGGCAAGCATCAGAGAGAGACAGAGAGGAAGCGCACAGACACGTTGAGTGCTCAGGCCCTAGGCTTGGCAACATCCTCCAGGCTGGAGAGTGCAGAGGCCTCACCAGTGTCTTCCCTGAAAAGGCTGGGGTGGGAGGGTCCCCATGCACAGCTACCAGCCAGGAGCCAGCCCTGCGTGAGAGACAGCATTAACGCCCTTCGCCCCACGTTACGAGCTGCCTTCCAGAGAGCACTTTTGCGTGAACATAGCTATGTATTTGGCTGGGGGTAGGGGGAGGGTGCTGGGGAAAAGACAATCAGCTGGCAGGGCCTGATGAAGGGGGTTTGTGGAGGAAAACGCTACCCTGCAGACAGACCTACTTGTGCTTAACCTAAGGGAGAGGTGGTTGTTGCTTAGCAACCATGGAAGCTGAGGGCCAGGCCCCAGACCAGGAGGGTGGGGGTCTGGGGGTGTTCCAGCATGGGGCCAAACAGCTGGTTCCAAGGGCAAGGGGATGGAAGGGGTCATCACAGCCAAAGACACAATCACCATAATTCAAATAAAAATTCTGAAAAATAGCTGTCCCCATCAGACCTTGAAAATAAAGGATTAGTGAGTGTTTCATGGTACCTGGGACACTAAGAATTTATAAGGCAGACCCATTTGAAAGGCCTTTATTCCTAATTATTTGGCCTTTGAAAGCCATTCTCTTGAAGACTTTGATCACAGAAATGGAGGAAGTGAGTAAAGTCTAGAAAGACATAACGAGATGCTGGTTGATGCAGCAGGCATGGTCTCTGTGCTGAAGGAATCCAGACCTCAGGAGGCTGAGAAACGGAAGTGCCCCACCTAGTTAATCAGGCCCTAGAGCGGTGAGGAGTGCCAGATGTGCCCAGAGCCCTAGACTGAGCCACCTTCAAGGCCCAGGCTCAGAAGCCTGGGCTCTGAGCTCCTCACTGATGGTCTCCTACAGAACGCACTCTCAGACAGCCAGCACTGACTTCCATCCCCTGGGTGACATCTTTTGCTCTCCCCACCACTGCCTCATCTTTGGATGACACGTACCAGGGCACAGAGAGGATGCTCCCGAGGGTGTCGCCAGCACAAAAGTCAAGAATCTAATGCCTTATTACTCTGGGAAACACCATGATTACATATTGTCAACGACCCCTTCTGTTTTCTTATCTATTAAGCAAATGCACCAAAATTCCGACACCACAGGAACATTAGAAAGCAAAATGTGGGTCAGGGAGATGCTGAGTTCCAAAAACTGGAGATGGAGGGCCCTCTAGCGGCCCCATGCACACCCTCTCGTGCAGGGTGATGAATGGACCTTTGCTCCCTGGTAATTTTGCAGAAAGAATAAAAAGGACAATTCATAACAGGATGCCAAAGCACCTCACTTAAAGTGACAGCCGCATATCATTAAGATTTCCAGAGGAACCATATAAGTTGGTAAAATATTGAAGCAGGAGAAGTTTCCATCATCAGTTAAACACCAGCAGATATTTGTGTCTCCTGTATTAGGTCTTGGGAAGCAGTGTTTTCAAATGCTTGGAACCTGGGGTGAAGGCGAGCACATTAATGCGACGTGAATGCGGCGATAAATCCAAATTAAATAAACCAAATGTCCCATCCGTGCAGATCTGCTGGTCCCCAAACGAGAGCTGAAAGGCAGACGACGCTTCCACGGACCACCTGCACCAGAACTCAATTCCTGAGCTCCCAGCAGCACGAGCATCCCCTCCTGTGTGCTGAGAACACAGCAATAAATCTCTGGGAAAAGAACTAAGGGGTGTGCACCCAGCACCTCTGAATCCCAGGAAATCATGCTGCGACTCAGTGAGCTCCACACACGGGAGTAACTCCCTCGGCCCATCAGCCAGAAAGAGGCTCAGATCATCTTGAGCCCATAACTAGCTGCCTTGTGGGGAAGCCCTTCCTGGGGGGTGGGGAGGTGTCCCCTGCCGCTTGAACTGCCACAGCGCTCCCTGGAGCCCATGCCCTGCTCTGTGCCCAGCAGACCCTCTGCAGGTCAAGGTGGTGAGCTTCCAGAGGACAGGCCAGGTCCCACGGGCAGGAACTCTATTCAGTCGAAGACGGGGAAATGCAGGAAAACATGGTTACAGCTGGGCGGCAACCTTGTGGTAGAGGCAGCTGAGCGCAGGGAAAGACACAGGACATGAAACCAGGCCCTGATCCATAGGGTAGCCACCTGAAAATACCCTCTCTTTGAGAGCAGGACCGAGAGACGGTTTCCCTTTGGGGATCGCCCTCCCAGCCCTTAACCCTGGGGTCAGTGGGGCTGGAAGTCTGAGCCATCCCGACAGAGTGTGTGACCCAGGACAGATGCCCCCTGCCCACATCCCAGTCATTCAGGGTAAAGACAGGGGATGCAGCAGGGGGCGGGACTCCGGCTCGGGACTTTGACTGGACAACTGGACAACAGAAGTTCTTCATGCTGGGATTCCTAAGCCCGAGGATGACAGAGAAGCTCCCAGAGCCACCCTGTAAGGAAACCCTGCCAGGAAGGAAGCCGACGGGGAGAGCTAGAGGGCAGATGGATGGGGTGCGGGAGACAGACAGACACACCAAGTCGTTACCACATCACTCAAGTGCCAGGATAGAGCCAAGACTCACACGCTCAACAACAGCCATCCCTTCCTACACTGTATGTATATCCCATTGGTTCTGCTTCTCTAGGGAACCCTGACTAAACGCTCATTTTACCCACCTTGTTGTTGCTGTTCAATCACTAGGTCATGTCCGACTTTTTACGACCCCATGGTCTACAACATCCCAGGCTTCCCTATCCTTCACTACTTCTTGGAGTTTGCCCAAATTGGCCCACTGGTCAAATCTGACCCACAATCTGTGCTTATAAATAAAGCTTTATTAGAACACAACCATGCTCATTCATTTACACACCCTCAACGGCTTTCACCAGCAGAGATGACTAGCCATGACAGAGGTCATCTGGCCCACAAAGCCTAAAATATCTCCTCAGTTCAGTTCATTCAGTCACTCAGTCATGTCCAACTCTATGACTCCATGAATCACAGCACGCCAGGCCTCCCTGCCCAACACCAACTCCCAGAGTTTACTCAAACTCAAGTTCATCAAGTCGGTGATGCCATCCAGTCATCTCATCCTCTGTTGTCCCCTTCTCCTCCTGCCGCCAATCCTTCCC